AATTTTCAGTTCAGATGCCTCTGTAATGACAAAACCATTGAAATACAGGCCTGGCTGTATTGCTGCTGCTGCTGCTGCTGCTGCTGCCATAGCTAAGTAGTTCGGTGGATAGAATGTCGGACCTAGAGTCAGAAACATCTGAGTTTGAATCCTGCCTCAGATATGTACTATGTAAGACACAACTTCTCTTAGCCTCAGTTTACTCACTTGTAAAAAGAAGTTAGACTCAATGATGTGCAAGGTCTCAGCTCTAAATCTGAAATCCTTTGAGTATTTTGAGATTGTACCCCATCACCCCACACAATGCTTTCTTTGTACCACTTGTTGTCATTTCTATTTTCTCCTCTCCACCCCACTCCTACCTTCAAAGGAAAAATATTGTATTTTGGGAAAAGAGAAGGATATCTGTCTATCTGATATACTCATGTGTCAGAAGACAAAAAGATGATTTCAACTGCATGGCTGAAGGATCATCTGGCTAAAATGTTTTCTATTTATGAAGACTTGATTTCTGGAGTCTTGTGATTATTTTTTTCACCTAAAAAAAATTCCCATTTCACCCTTCCTACCCCGTCCTCTTTCAGTCTGCAGAATAAACAGAACATTGAATATAATCACTATCACTGTCTGTTTTTTTTTAATCACTCTAACAAATTCCAAGTTACTAGGTCATAGATTTCTTAGTCATGACCAACACTGTCTTTAACAGACTTTCAACAAGAACTATAAATGGTGAAGCAGTGCCATCCATTTCACATAAGATTATGTCAGGAGAAGGAGAAGTAAAGTTGTCAAGAGTCGTAGTCTTATGGGTTTTTTTGAGATGGATACTTCCAGAAGCCTGTGTGAATTCTTTATCCTGGTTTCTTGGTATTCCTTTGATTTGACAATTCCTTGTGTACCTGGTTCTGATCTAAACCCTTATAAAGAAGTCATTTATGAAGGCTTCTAAGTTTCATTATTAGTCTTTATTCTTTTTTTTTAAACTGAATCTGGGGATCTCATCAGAGAGGGTACTCCCAGTGAGGAACTTCTTCTACCGATGCAGATTGGCAGCTACCCTACAACTTATATAGTCTTATAGAATTTCCCAGGAGAGGTTAAGTGACTTGCCTAGGGTCACCAGTCGGTGTGTGTCACAGAGAGGACTTGAACCCAGGACTTCCTGACTGAAAGTCAGCCCTCTATCCACTATGCCATTCTATTTTTCTATCAGTGTTGTGCTCCGAAATCTCTGCCTTTCTGTGGCACCATGAAATACAGGCAGTTCCTGGATTATAAATGGGCTGTGTCCAAAAGTTTGCCTGTCAGTTGTTTGGAACTAGCAACAAATAAGAAACCACAGAAAACATATGATAAATGGTGGTCAGGATCCCAGGCCAACCCACAAAAGCCTCTTCAACCCATAATGAGCCTAAAGCATAGTAGTAAAAGGACCACAGAACCATAATTAGTGACTGTGTTTCAATGGGACAGTGTGTGCTGAGTTCCAATTTAGCATGCCAGGGATACATGGTTCCCCTGGTGCAGGCCCTGGCAGCTGAAACCATGACTTTTTGATGTCCAAGCCACTGGCAACTCCCAAGGCTGTGGTAGGAACTCCATCTGGAGAGAGGTGTTGAGGAGCTGGGACAGGGGCTCTGAGGTTACTGGGGTGTTATGACTTTGGGCACAGTAAGTAAGAAGAAGAGGGGGAAGAGGAGGGGAACAGAGGTTGGGGCCAGTGAGAAGGGGTGTCTGTAGTTCAGGATTTTCCCCTCCTCCCATTCCCATTTTATGACACTACTTTTGTATTTTCCTTTCACATGATTCTCTTTCCACAGGGCCCCGTAAAAGAGTGGGATCTGAGACTCCATTGGAGTATAGGTAGGGAAGAGTGATAGTAGTGGCTTCCATATGGCTATCTCTGAACAACACTGGGGTGAAGCAAGAATCAGGGACTAGGGCTGGTAGGATCAGAATCAGTAGTGGGACTAGTCTAGCCTAGTAATGAAAAGCATATGGAATTTGGAGGCTAAGGACCAGATTTCAAATCCCAACTTTACCACTTTCTGTGTGAAGTCTCCGAGTTGGAGAAGTTATGTGGCTCCCTGGGACCCAGAATCTTTGTTGGTTAAATGAAAGGATCAGACAAGATGGTTTCCCAAATCAAAATCTTGGATCTTCTTATTCTAGTCACAGGGTTAAGCACAGGGGGCTGGTGTTAGAGAGAAGGAAGAGGAGGGGAGAGAAAACCCAAAGGAGAGTGAGGGCAAGGGAGTAGAATCCTATTGTATGTTTCTGCTGATGGACCTCTGGAGATTCACCCATCCTCCTTCATATTTATACCCCTGTAACTGTAAGTCTGCTTATGCTCATTTCTCTGTTCTAACAAATCTATTTATTATTCTATCACTGCTCCTATGTACCCATCTGTCCCTTCAGGGTTGCTTTGTTTATACCACCCTTACCTGTTTTTAGTGAATCTGAACACTCTAGTAAACCACCTCAACCTTTATCTTTCCTCATCTCCTACTTACTTAGCCTATGTGAATACATCTCTCTACACTACTTGCACTTGGGCGCTTTTGGGACTTTAGTGAACCTGTGATTGGATCTTTGGTGAACCTGAATACTCTGTCCACCAATGCAAATCATATTAACTGTAAGCCTTTTCATCCTATATGATTCTTGCCCATGTTTCCTTATAAATCCTCCAAAAAAGATCTATACATGATGGAGGCCTTCTTTTTCTTCTTTCATTATCACAGGAGTACCAGTGTACCACTTGGGCTGTCCATCTGTTGGTTCTCGTTCTAGCCATATGACTAGTTGACTTCCTCTTCTAGTAATAGATGTCTTCTATAATGCCTATTTCACTTTTTCTTGCATTCAAGTTCTAGTTGCTAACATACTGCAGCCTACTTGGTATGCCTACCATGCAGGTTTCCATTGTCCTTTGGATTTTTTTTTTATAATTTTAATTCTTCCAAGTTTCCAAATATTTAATGACTCACTACCACATAGCATCAAGGGGAGAATATTCTTATAAAAGAAAAGGATTTTCAGACAGCAAGTAGGTTGGGATCATTGAACAGTGTCAAACAATTTCCCAAAGGTGATGCCAGATGATATTCTACTCAATTCTGCATCCAGTTCATTGCCCATCTAATAGATCCAGACAGGTTGTTTGTCCAGCTAGTTGTCATACTTTGGGACAATATACATTTTTCATTTACTTTGTTTTACTGGTGTGGTTGATCAGATGTTTGTTTTTTCTTGAATTGCTATGGATTTATTAGAAGAAGTCTATAGTATTTCAGAGCTTAATATATAAATACAGTGTTGCCTTTAAATTGTAGTATAACATTTGTGGCACTCCCTTCTGTCATCTGGGACCCCAGAAAATCTACCATAGCTTCAAGATACTTTGTAGGTTCATATCCACCCCATTTGTGAGCACCTACCAATGTATTTACTTCTACTTGTCAGACAGAGGACACAATTAATTTGAAGCAAAGGCATTAATGAAATAGCATAGTATAAAAAGTAGCAATAGGGCATTTTACTTGTAAACCTGGGGCATACCTCAGAAAAAAATATGAATACTATCTGTAAGAAAAGTAGATGAATACCTGTTGGAATCATTCATAGAGCCTATTCCTAGGGAATATGTGTCTAGAACTCATACCTGGAGAGGGTTAACTCATATTTTTGACACAGTGGGGCCACTGATATTATCTAGTAATGTCCTCACATTGTAATTTCTGGACCTCTTCCCATTGCTTTTCTATGCTGAGCTTGCACCAGGGTAGAGGATTGCTTTCCTCCTCCTCTTTCTTTTCCTCCTCCTCTTCTTTCTCTTTCCCTCCCTCTGTCACTGCTTATGTCTATTTCTCTTTCTCTCTCTGTCTCTATCTGTCTCACTCTCTGTCTCTGTCTCTCTGTGATTCTCATTCTGTCTCTAATGTCTTCATCTGAGGTATAACCTCTTCTGCCCCAAGAGAAGCTTATTCCCCAAAGATAAAGTTTCAGCTCATTTAGAAAGGCAGAACTTTCACACACATTCAACTAGTACAGAAAAGTTAGCTGTGTTTGCTTTATAAGGAATGATATCTGTCAGTTCCCAGGATCTTTGTCTTTGGGGGTCAAGCTTTTTGGAAACACCAGTCAGTCGGCCTGCTAATCAAAATATGCAAAATTTTGTCTGTCATCTTTTGAACTTCTTCCTACTAGCAGGATCAGTTTATCTGTCCTAAGCCTATATCTGACTTAGGGTTAGAAATTCTCCATCTTCCTCTGATCATTTCTAGGTTGACAAACTCCATCCTCCTCAGGAAATGCATTTGGACCCTGCTAAGGGCTGTTTGGGAGTTCTCGGCTTCTTAAAAACCTTTGGGCTTTGATATACAAATGAATCTATGCCTAAGTACTTGCTAAACTGAAAGGACTAGGCATTGTTTTCCTTGCTTTTGTTATGTATATGTGATTGGCAATATGCCTATAAGGCTTTCAGCTACTCCTAAGGAACATTTAGAGACCTTCAGCATCAAAGAAAGATCTTTCATTTTGCTTGAATAACACCACAAATACCTTGGTAAACAATTGATAGTACACATTTCTAAATTTCTGTCAGTAACTACATAATTATTAATATGAACTTTGCCTGTATTACTACATTCAGCATTTGACATTTAAGAAGGTAAAATAATTCTCCCAAATCCTTTTTAAACTTTTTTTTAAACAACATCAGCTTTTTCAACTTTTCTTTGACAAGATGGAAGATGACAGGTGACACCTTGTTAAATGTAATAATCACCACTGGTTCTTTTTTTAACAGTGAAAAAGACCCAGGCTCAGAATTCTGTTGAAAGAAAGTAGTTTCTAGACACCCTGGTGAGAAGCAGTTAAGTTGCAAAGATCTTTTCTTAAAACCTGTGACTTTTTGTTCTAAAATAAGAAGACATATTTGCAACTTTGTGGCAACTTGCAACCTAAATCATTTTGTTTTTGTTTTTCAGACAGGTGGAGCACTTTCCAGACATTCTGGTTCAACAGTCAGAAGTGAGAACATCTATTTATCTCTGAAGCAGTCATATGGGGAGTATTTCCGTATGTTTCAGATTTTGTTGAAGAGGGAACTTCCAAGGGCAAGAACTTATGTTGCAAAGCTGGTTTCAAGCCAAAGTGTGAACAGAGGAAGCTTGTTTCTAGCTCCAGCCTATCTCCCCTTTCAAGACCTGTTTGTTCTCCGTTTCAGTCCGACAGGGCTTGGCTCTCAGCTAATGATCACAGATGGAAGATGAGCTGATAGAATAATGCTGGCCAAGGTTTTAACTGATGGAAATTGAAGGTGTTACTACTCCCAGGGGGATTTGCATTCTAATTCATTGAATATAAAGACTAAAAACTTCTGCAAGTTCAAATAAATTAATCGCTAAAAAGTGTGATTTCAGGCATCATGACAATCAGCATTAAGGGATATATTTGGTACTTGTGGGGAAGGTAGATTTCCTATTATAATATAGAGGCAGTTGCTTAGTGTACTGTACTTTAACAAATGAAATGCCTATAATGCATCAATCAATCAAAAAAAAAAGCCCAAAACATTGTGATCAGCCTGGAGATACAAAGACAAAAAAGAAAGTCCCTGCCCTCAAGGACTTCACATTCTATTGGGGGAGATGAATATGTGTGTGTGTGTGTGTGTGTGTGTGTGTGTGTGTGTGTGTGTATATTCCCATCCAGGGTTACGTCATGCCTGCCTTGGATATCCTAAATATATGTGTACAAATATGTCATACATAAACAAATATAGATAATAAATACAAATATGTAAATATAAAAATTATGAATACCACACATGCATATAAATCATATTTAAGATATTCGAAACAGATACAAAGTAATCTTAGATGTGTGTCTCACACACACACACACACACACACACACACACACACGGGACCGGCAAAGCTTTCCTGCTGAAATTAGTGTTTGATCTAGTGTTTAAAGGAAGCCATTCCTCTTCTCAGGGAGCTCACAATTTATACCTTGGTAAGTCAGCATGTAGTTGTATGTTCAGTACCGTTGTCTGTGAAATTCTTGCATCTAGGGTGAGCATTGTTAGGGATTTTGTTTTTCTCAACAAAACAAATTCTTATTCTCATATTTTGTATGCTCTGTGATTTTTATCAAAGTTGATATTTAAGCTACCTCTATAGTAATCTACAAGAGATTTTACCAAAGCCCCAAGCAGCTGCACCTCTCATCTGTTCACCCTGTACTGTAGTTAAATTTGTGCTGGTTGACTTAAAAACAAAGGGATCCATCGTCAATTACCAGCCTCTATCATTATTATTATTATTATTATCATCATCATCATCATCATCATCTTAAAGGGAACTCCTTGTGTGAAAACTCCTTTCACTGAAGTAATGAACAGCTTGACTCAGACTTAGATGGTTTCCTTGGGGCACTGACAGGGTGTGTGGCTTGTTCACAGGTAAAACTAAAATGTTTTCATAGGCAGGATTTTAACCCTGGAATTTCTGATTCCAAGGTCATCCCCTCTAGAGGCATCATGACAGAGTGGAAGTGTCAGACTTGAAGTTAGGAAGACTTGGATTTAAATTCTCTCTTGATACTTGAAAGGAAGAACCTGAGCAAATAACTCAACATCTCTGAATATCAGTTCCCTCTCCTGTGAAATCAGAGTGATAGCATCCCCCTCACGGATTTGTTGTGAGGATCAAATGAGATAATGTATATAAAGTGCTTTACAAAGTTTTTTTTTTCCCGTTTTGGACCAGATCCATGATTTCATTGGCAAAGGGAACTCCCAGTGAAGACACTCCTTTTGCCAATGAGTATTGACACCTGACCGGCAGCTTATAGTCTTAGAGAGTTAGAATGTTAAAAAGTTAACTAACTTAACCAGATCACTGAGTCAGGTTATGTGTCAGAGGTGGAACTTAAACTCAGATGTTCCGCCTCAGTCCAGCTCTCTGTCCACTCTGAAAGCTGCCTTAAAGCACTATGATAAATGTTAGTTATTAGTAACAATAATAACAATAATAATAATTGTTGTTGTTGAAAAATCATTCTTTTTCACCTTGTTAAATGGAATTCAGATGGAAATGGTCCAGGGATAAATTACTCTTTTACTTTTCTTTTATATTTACTATTTTATGGAATAGGATTGTGCCGATAAACAAATAATGGCTTTTTGTATGGAAATAAAAGTATTAGGATATAAGCTCATTCTCTGTAGCATCCCTAAAACCAATCTCCATACAAGTAGCAGACAGGATGACAGGGATGATGGGGATGATAAGTACTTTATCCTGTTCTTGAATTATTTTTAATCTCCTCTGCTAGGTCTTTATAAAGTTTTCATTCAGTGGTAGCTTGGAGATTATGAGTAATTCATATGATGACAGCTATTATAAGCATTATTCTGAAGTCTCTGTGTATCAGAGCACAAACTTTCCATTTCTCATTTGATCCAGTTTGTGTTTTCGTTGTGCTGGACTTCTTGCACTCATACAGAGGGCCAGAAATTTTACACATCTTTTTCTTTGAGGAGAAGGGTCTCTTTCACCTTTGCTTTCTTCTTAAGCCTCTTAGTAACTTTTTTTGATTGATGCTAAATTATTTATTTTGTTGGGGGTTTTTTTAGTGATCCTTGGACTGCAATATGAACTTTTCACCTTTTGCCTTCATGTATTGAAGAAAAAGCAAAATCTAGACCTCTGATACACTTTTGGTTTCTGGAGTCCTTTCCAGATACTTTTCTCTTTCTTTCTTTCTTTCTTTCTTTCTTTCTTTCTTTCTTTCTTTCTTTCTTTCTTTCTTTCTTTCTTTCTTTCTTTCTTCTTTCTCTTTTTTCTTTCTTTCTTTCTTTCTTCCTGTCTTTCTTTCTTCTTTCTTCCTTCTTTCTTTCTTCTCCTTCTTTCTTCTTTCTTTCTTTCTTTCTTTCTTTCTTTCTTTCTTCTTCTTTCTTTCTTTCTTTTCTTTCTTTTCTTTCTTTCTTCCTTCCTTCCTTCCTTCCTTCCTTTCTGTCTCTGTCTTTCTGTCTTTCTTTCTTTCTTTCTTTTTCTTTCTTTCCATTTTTCTTTCCTTCTTTCTTCCTTCCTTCCTTCCTTCCTTCCTTCCTTCCTTCCTTCCTTCCTTTCTTCCTTCCTTCTTTCTTCTTTCTTTCTTTCTTTCTTTCTTTCTTTCTTTCTTCTTCTTCCTTCCTTCCTTCCTTCCTTCCTTCCTTCCTTCCTTCCTTCCTTCTTCCTTTCTTCTTTCTTTCTTTCTTTCTTTCTTTCTTTCTTCCCTTTCTCATTCCTCCCTTCCTTCTTTTTCTTTCTTTCTTTCCTTCCTCTATATGACATTCAAGTTTTCTGCTGTATGTACCTGCTGAGCATTTATAAAATCTTCCAGTGCCTTTCCTCTGCTCTTCGGCATCTCTCTAAAATGGTTTCTATGGTGCTGGTGTTTGGCATCTGCCCTTGGTGATATTTCTTGGTAACTCTGCCTTTCATACTTTGGTTTTCGTTATGGAAAAGGTGTCACATATATCTCTATGAGCAGGTACTGAAATATTTTCACACTTTCTGTTAAATATTAAGGGAGACTATGTTTATTTATAATGATTTTTAGCAAATCTTAGATTTTTAAAAGGGTCCTGTTTTGTTGTGATTGATCTGCCAGTTGGATTCTTATGATCACACTCAAAAAGAACTTTTCAGAATTCCAATCCAAATAAGCCCCTGTCTTTTTCAAAATCTATATTTATTTATCAGTCAGTTTTTGTTTGTTGTTTTGGCACAAGTATCTTTATTACGGACAGTTTCTAGAGTTTTCATAAAATGAAGGTTTCCAATGACATCAGCTTCTTCAACTTTTTCCTCTTCAGATATTAGTAGAAGCTCACTTTCTTCTTTTATTTAATCTAGCTTAGGTTTAGGGTTAAGTTTTGTTTTGTTTTAGCGATTGCCTTGAAGTGGTCAGCAATGAACTGTTGTGTATTGAAACTAATAGTGCTGTTGACAAAAAGCAGTAAGAAGTCCTTGCCTATGTCTGGAAAGTACCATTTTTAGGGGTTTTTTTTTATGCTGTGGTACTGGTGTAAAATGAAAGTATAATTACTGCAATCTAGTTCATGTACACTTGTGGTTTGCCTGCTTTTGTGGTCAGTGTTATCAATTAATCAATCAAAAGCATTTATTAAGTGCAGCATTCAAATCCCTGGGGACACAAAGAAAGGCCAAAACATTTTCTTCCCATAAGTAGTTTACATACCAGTGAAGGATACAACATATAAATAAATAGGTCCCTACAAAATATGTATAGAGTAGAAATAAGGTAACCTTAGAGAGGAAGGCTCAGGTGGATGGAGGTAGGGTAGGGACTGGGAAAAGGCAAATGCAAACAGTCAAATTTAAGCTGAATCTTGAAGGAAGCCAGGGATGTCAAAAAGTAGAGATGAGGAAAGAAGGTTAAAGCATTTCTAGTATTTGCAATGTCGGTATTTTCTGATTTGTTCCTATGTATCTTGCTGTCTTGTAGTACTAAAACTTGAATGACCACCATTCATTCTGCTGTCCTCTGTGTCCAGCTGACATCAATATGACAGATTTGTGTAGGACCTTGTACCTTCTTACCTAATCTTTAGTTCATAGCATCAGTTTCAACACATTCCTTGGAGTGCTAACCCAATCAGGGGTATTGCTGAAACACAATTGGCTAGATCAAAGTTCCTGCCAGGCCTCTTCAGGTACTTTAGCTTTCAGAAGCCATCATTCCCTTACTTTGCAATTGGCTCTGGAGCCCTCCCTCACCTGGATGTAAATGATTTGTTGGGCTTCAGTTGCTGCTGTTTTGTAAAGTGGATAAAAAGGGGCATAACCAGATATTCCTATGTGAATTAAGAAAAAAGTGATGATGCATTTTGATTAAAATTTTCCTATTTCTTAAGAGTCATTTTCTCTGCTGAATTAAGAGCTTTCTATATAGGAATCTGTGTTTTATGCATACTTAAAAAAAAAGATCACAAAATGAAAAATGTTACCTTGTCCTGCCAAAATGTTGGGCTTTTTGTTATATAGTAAATGACAAATTTTGAACCACTTTGCATAATGTACTAGACCCCAAAATAAAGGGTTTGATATACCATGTAATTTCTCTCTGGGTCACATTTCTGTTCTGAACAAACTTTTAGGTTTGCGGTTTATAAGCAAAATAACTTGACTGTTTACTTGTGGTTATCTGTGGTACGTGTCTATGGCAGAGGGGGAAAAACTACTTTGAGAAGGAATCAAAATGGGGCACACAGTTGCCAACAATTACTGAATTCTATTTGCCTGATAAAACATTTGATTCAACCAGTTCTTTGAAACTGTTGGGTATTATCATAATAAGGAGACTTTTTCAAGTAAATCAATTGACATGTTTGCTAAAATAGCCCAAAATGTTTTATTATGCAGTCTCTTCACCCCAACTTACTTGTGTGCTATGAGATCAGCATAGAGAGAAGTACATATACACCTAGGTCTCCTGTACCTACTCTCATTAACTTTATAGTGCTTTGCCAACTGTTCCCATCACTCTCACGTTCTCCTCACATAATTT